GGGCACACTGCTGGCTCATGTTCAACTAGTTTCCGTTCTGGGTGCCTGTCTGAGACATGAACCTGTGGTTCAGTCGCTACTGGCAGGCAGCCCTGGGGTTTCTGTGCCCCAACTCCTCGACCTCAGCCGCCCTTGTCAACGATGCTTCATCTACTATGCACCCTGGTCATGGTGGCTCCCTGGCAGCGTGCCATCCCCTCGTTAAGAGCTGACAAAGTATTTTGAATCATGGGAAACAGCACAGGAGTTTGAAATGTATTCTTGGTCCAGGAGTACTCTTTAGAAAGGAGAAGCTTGATAACCACTGCCTTAATGATAGCTTAAATTCTAATTTCCAGTGGTACCTAATATCATAAACTGAGCGGCCTCAGTGGATTGCTTTGCTACTCCAAGATGGGAAGACAGCAGCTGAAATAAGCTTTGGGTCTTCCCCTTAAAAATACCATTCAATGTCACATAACAGAAATTTGTAGAACTAGTGTTTTCTGGTTTAAGTGACTCCTTTCACAGTCTTAATACCTCCCTTTCTCTCACAGTTCAGAGTCTTTGGTGGCAGGGGTTATCCAGTGAGAAAACAGTCATAGTCTTTGATAGCCCCCTCTGGTTTTTTTGGATTGCATAAGCCTATACTCAGGTCAGATCACTAATTTACAAACTAGTCTTCATTATGCAGCTAAGTTAATCAGAAGCCATCAGAAAAAAATTAAACTAATACTTTTCATCTCTAGATTTTAATTACAAATAGAGTGAACATGCAGCAGAGGGAGAAATAAAGATTTTTAAGGGAATTATATCTTTTGCCATTGCTCATTTCTTGAATGTCAGTTCATATTGGCTGTGCTTCTGTTTTTCATAAATATATATTTAATTATTAAATGCTGTGGACTTGATTTGAAGATCTTTTTATTTTTATATAGCCATGATTTCATTGGAGAATTCACAACAAGTTACAGAGAGTTGTCAAGAGGGCAATCTCAATTCAACGTGTATGAGGTAAGTATTCTAAAAGTATTGCTTCATAAGAAGAATTAACGACAAATAGGTATGCGTGCGTTTATATGCACACTGGGCTGTGATAGGGCAAGAAGAGCACTTAAAGCATCTGGGTTAGTATGACATGACTTGGAGGAAATACTGGATTTGTCCCCATTTGTGTGTGAACAATTTGTCATTTATTTCTCTCTTTGCCAGCTGTTGCATGTGTTGTATCTATTTTCTCCTATCCAAAGTCTATCTGGTGATTCCTACGGGAAATGCGAAGTTACATGCCTTTGATCTTGAGTCCACACTTCAGAATCTTGGGAGTTTTGATGCAGGGCTTACAAGTGACAGAATCTAGCTGACTTATTGGTAGGGCTTTTTATGTGGTCAGTTACCACCTTTGGCTAAAAATATGCATCTCATTTCCAGTTTAGGATTTGCACGTCTGCCAGCTACTAGGATTGACAGGCAGTTGGCAATTCAATTATAGAGCTCTATATTGTTAGAAGACTTTTAACTGTGGTAAGACCTTATCGTGTATTGTGGGTAAATGCAAACTACATTCACATTCCCTCTTAGTATTCTTTCTCTTTCCTTTTCTTCTCAGAGCCCTGTGGCCAAAATTGTGCTGGCTTGTTTACTGCATATCTAATAAATCTCTAGTTTAAAACTTCATAGTTAATTTAGTCTGAGGTCATTTGAATTTGCAAAAAAGTAAATGTTTTTTTTTCCCCTAAAGGTCAGATTTTACTGTATCTTCAAAATATGCTGTAACTTATTCTCAGAATCAGCCAATAAGTTTCTAGTAATCTAAGACACCTCAACATCAACAATGGCCATGTGCACCATCTGAAGAAACAGGAATAGCTTTTTCTACCAAACCTACCTTTAATATAGCCTTGTTAGTATGAGCATCTCCTTTTTCAAATTAGCAGCTACTTTGCCTTCAAATTATACTTGAAGGTTCTAGAGGCACATCTGGCGACTTGCGGAATTATATGGACTGTGGTTGCTTTTGAGAGGGTTCCATGACTTGAACTGGCTTGAGGACTTGAACACTGGAACAGGCTGCCCAGGGAGATTGTGGAGTCTTGGAGTCTCCTTCTCTGCAGACATTCAGACCCCGCCTGGACGCCTTCCTGTGTAACATCATCTAGGTGTTCCTGCTCTGGCAGGGGGATTGGACTAGATGATCTTTTGAGGTCCCTTCCAATCCCTAGCATACTGTGATACTGTGACTGTGGTCCTGTTCCTTCTTTGTCCATTCTGGTAGGAGAGCCTGATCCTGAATTTAGACTCCCATGTGCATCCAGATTGGTGGAACTCCTAACCAGCCTGCCTACAAGACCTTCATTGATGCGATCTTAATCCTGTGGTCAGAATTTCTTTCAATTCTGCTTCTCTCAAGGGTGATTCAAATGTGAGACAAATCCAGCTCATTTTAGTCATGGTTATCCTGGTAGACAGTTTAATGTCAAGACCTCTTTATGTCCCTCAGAATAAATACTTAAGACCATGTTCTAAGTTGTAGGTATGTTTTTGAAGGATTTAGGTCAGCTTCTGTATTTGCACTGTGAATTCCAGTATCATGCAATTTGCATGCACAGTGTCTGTCAGAAATGAAATGTGTTTTTTCTTCTTCATGGTGAGATAGTCCTGCTAAAAATGAGAAGACAAGCCTATGTGGCTATAGCCTGTATTTACTCTGCATGGTGTGCAGATCCTTGTTATTCCTTAAGCTATGCTTTAATTGATCTCTGACTACTGTTATTAAACTTCAGTATTTTGTAAAATTTCATATTCCTTACATAGGTGATCACAAATATGATGCTTTAGGCAAGTACTAATGCAAGGTAGGAAAGGAAGGTGCTCCACTTCTATGCTGCATTTTTATATTGAAAATGAGCGAAGGTGCTGCTGTACAAAGCAGAACAAAGATAACTGAAAGCCATGGGGGTTTTTCTTATTTAGATCCAAGGTCAACCCCAGAGTTACTGTAATTTGGAGCAGTTTCTTATGGGTGCTGTCACAGCACAGATTACTGTGTGCAGTGAAAATGTCCTCTCCTGTTGTATCACTGACATGACTCCTACCCTACCAGGAATATTCTGTCATAACATCCTAAGTCATTTTGCAGTTTCTTAAATATAGTATCAATATCTTACTCCCAGCAATAGCATACGTTTCCTGACTGGAATCCTCTATACTTTGGTACTGTTTCTGCTTAGTTCGTCTGTGCAACATCAGAACAAAAGAAACTGGACAAATTCTTTTTTTATTGTTCTGCATTTGCAGGTAGAAAAATTTTGTGTTTGAGTCAGTGTCCTGTATATTCAGATTAGAAACATTGCTACAACAAGCTCTTTTCAATTAACCTTTTTTTTATCGGTAAGAGTTCATGTAGCTTCCTATATGAGGTTACTGTGGGGGCGTAAGACTTTTAGAGGCTAAAAAAAATCTTGTTTTGTTTGTGAAGTTATCTGAAATTCGAGAAAAATATATATGCTACCTGTAATTATAGGAGAGAGACAAGCTGCGATTTAATTAATCTTTGATCTCAAGTAGATGCCTTGTATCCCATGATATTTCACTCCAAGCTGTAGTGCATTTACTAGCAGTTTCTGAGAAGACAATTGTCAAATTACCTGATGCAGAAGGTTCAGATGAATCTCATTTTTGGCATTTAATGACCACTGGCAAGGAATATGTGGCTAATTCAGGCCTGACCACTGGATTCTGGAGAGTTGTGCATGAAGGACCACAGGGCAGGCAAGGCCTTTAATCTTTGTCTTCTGGACGATTCTCAGGAGTCACTTTCTGGCTCAGATTTTGGCTCAACAAGAATTACTGCATTGTTTATAAACCAATTACACAAATTTAATCCATTGCTCACTGGTCAAGACACTGTTAATAGGAGGGACTGGGGGTATTTGGGGGGTTTTAAGTGTAAAAGGCCTTATGCATGTGTAAGGCAGTAAGAGCTTGAAGAATGCTTATGGGATGAGTCTGTGGGTACTGGAGGGAGAGCAAGAGTCACTCTCATTTAGGCTGTGTGGGAAGGCCTCAAGTGATAGTTATCTATTTCTGCCCTACATTTCAGAGCTGTTATGTATTATACAAGGAATATGATCTTTAAATATAATTTCATTTTTGTCAAGGGGTGAGAATTTTTGGAAGACGTGTATTACTATTTTTCCCATTTCAGGCAAAATTGTTTAAATATTTTATAGCAGTTAAGCGACTAAGATTTCGACTGAGAATGTTTTCATTCCTTGTCATTCACAGAACATCTGTGAGTAGTTTACAGTTGGCAGTAAGCCACAAGGATTTGAGTTCCCTAGTTAGATAGGAGATAGTTGATCGACCTAATTAACAAAATAATGTTTTGCTTCCAATTCCATGTGCAATTTTGAAAAAAAAAAAAAAAGGACTACGTTTTAATGTGTATGAAATGAAATGACTGAGACTTGCTTTTGAGTGGGTAGGTATTCAGAAGTGAAACAATTTTAATTGGTGGCTAGAGTGAGAAATTTTATAGATGTGTGTTCCAAGATGTTCAAGAAAACCATGTAATGCTTTGTAGTTCAGTTCCATGAAGATTCTTGTGTATGGGGAGTGCAGTGAGCCCCCACAACTCCTGTATGCCAGCCTGGTGGTGGTCTGTGCCATTTTCATGGAATTACTGCCTGTTTTCTGTTCTGGCACAGTATGATCTGTCCCCCAAGTTGCTCTTCCTGTCCGCCAGATTCTGTCATTCCACCAAAACCAGCAACTAAGAGTACAACAACTTTCATGTTTCTCAGCTAATACTGAGGAGAAGATGGAAACAGATTAACTAGAACGCAAAGAGGTGCATTGTGGGATGAAGAAGTGGTAACATGGTACATTGAAACACTCAAATCAGGCATGCAAAAAAAATGCAGAATCCTGTGCAAATTCAAATAAATTCCAAGCACTCAGATTTAATTAACACTCCCACCTCTGTTGCTCCGGTCTCCTATCTGTCAAATGTGAATAGCAGCACTGGCTTATCTACCAGGTACCATGAAGATAAATTCACTGGTTTTCAAATACGCATATATCCCAGCATTCAGGTGCATAAGTAAACAGTATGCTGAATGAATTTAAAATCCACTGAAAATAGACTACTTTCTGCATTGAAAGTATCTTAACACTTATTTTTATGTTAAATCATAAATCATTCTGCTTTAATATTTGTTTCTGTGTTTGTAGGTAATAAATCCAAAGAAAAAAGGAAAAAAGAAAAAGTATGTTAATTCTGGAACAGTAAGTAGATATACTTTATGTTACTGAATGCTTTTCTTTTCTCTTGACACAGAGGATAGTTGAGTTATAATTTAACAGAACAGAACCTTCTGTGAGGGCCACAACAAAAAACTGTTTTCTGTTAATACAGCAGGTATTATTTTTTAAAAAAATTTGAAGAGTCTGTTAAAAGCTCTGTCCAAGTGTGCTGTTAAGTTGCAAAAGATTTCCAGAATGAATTATACCAAAATTTCAGTCAAATTCTTGAAATTATTGGACTGAACACTATTAATTTTTATCTGAAAAATATTTGCACTTCTAAAAGTCAAATTTCTTTTTAAATTTAACTGCTGAGCTGGCATCAGTAAAACCTAATATATTGGTCACATCTAAACCAAAAAGAGTGAACATATTTTATTACTGACGTGGTTTTGTAAATTTATCTTGAAAGATCTGTTAGTATAGTTTAGGATGAGAGTTTAATGTCCTTTTGTTCATATTCCATATTCTATTTTATGAGCCATTAGTTACCAACACAAATAGCTGCCTTCAGCACGTTCTCAGCTTTCATGTTCTGGCATCCATGATGTTCAAATCATTTACCAAAAAATGAAGATAGATGTTGGAAGAATTTTATATTGGAAAACCTGATTAGTTATAAGATATGTTTTTTGAAAATGCAGCCAGCATGTGGGTTTTTTCCACATGAACAGTTGCCCTGAATTCGTTAGAGCTACTTTCCCTCTGAAGTGTAGCCTTGAAGGAACATTTTCTCATTCTCACATTCCTGCATAAGTATATTCAACAGTAGGAAAATACTTTTCTACCTCTGCTTTAAATTATAAAAGAGGCAGAAGCAACTTGTCCATGAAAATTTACCATACAGGATCTGATTTGTTAGATAATACATTTTTTTTCCAACATATTCCTTTTACTACCATTTAGTGTGTTAGAATAAAGTTCTGTTATGCTAATGGGTCAGAAACATAAAAGTGATTATTTTAAATTGATACCAAAAGTATATATGCTCAAAATTGGAAGTACGAATTCGAGTTTAGGGTACAGAAGAGTAAAAAATGCATTTGCATGTTCAATTTTTCTGTTGATTTTTGTTTTTTAAATATTTTAACACCTTCACATGTATCAGTCTGCATTTTGAAGACCATATTTTACTCATCTTCGGACAGACAAAATCAGCTGTGTCTTGTTATTCCGTGTCTCAAATTCCACAGAAATTTCCAATAAACATTTGTTAGCAATTTTCTTTCTTCTTTCTTTCTCTACCAATGTTCTCTACTGTTGGTTTTGTAATTTCTTTTCTTTATCAAGACCTCTTTGCCTCCATTTGCCCTTACTTGTACCCTCAGGCCTCCCTTATTCTTCTCCAAACTGTCTCTTCCCTGTGTGTTTGCCTGCAGTTTTGTTTTTCTTATCTCTATAGTTCAGCCAAGATATTCTTTATCGCACAGATTTCTAAATTTTCAAAAACTAGGCACCAAGACCATCATTCTTACTAATAGGAAGTTGGCTTCTGGAGATTTTTACTTAAAGTGCATATAGATCATTTACTGCTTTCTCCCTCCTGCTTTTAAGGACTATGTACATACTGTAGCCATCACAATTCATTATTACTTCAGGGGTCATTTTAAATTCAGACAGACAAACTGCATACCAAGCAGAAGTGTTTCAGAATGCATGATTAGTTTCAAAGACACAATGCTACCTGTAGTCTCATTCTGAGTCCATGTTTACAGCGTAGGAATATTTTTATTTTTTATATTCTGTTGCAGTTGGAGGCAAATCAAATTTTATGACAAACTTCCATCCTCTTTTTATTCCTTCTGTCATTATCAGTGAATTTGCTTTGCCTAGTTACTTAAGAAATTTTCACCAACTGCTGCACTTACGTTGTGAGAGAGTTTTGTATGACTTTGTAAATAAAAATAATTTGGATTGAATACGTTTCTTCATAAACGTTGTGTGGTGTATGAGGATCTTAAATGCTGGGATCTTTTCCGCTTGAGTTTATATTTCTGTGACTCAAGTGTTGGAAATGCAAGTAACACCTTTACACCACTGCCTGTGTTTTGGACCTGTATAATTTCTGAATGATAAAAGCTGGGACTGAAGAAGTTTCTTTTCTTTAGATTTGTGTATATATTCCACTATATGTTTCATATATATGTATCATTTACTAGATTTTTCCATTGCATCAGTTCTGAATTCCTCTTTTAATGTGTGGTGAGAAATGACATGAATAAATGTAATTAAGTTCTTTAAACAGTGTTGAAGTACTTATAGAGTAGAAGCATTATCATCTAGCCTCTAATATTTGTGTGTAGATGTAGTGTATAGTTATCAGAAGACATGCATGTGGTAACCTGCCCTGGAATACAATCTTCCATCCCTTAAGTTTGGCTTAAAAAAAATAATTGTAGTAAACTTCCAAATTTGTCCCTTCCCTTTCAAGAACTGTCTATTGAAATGGTTTCTTTCTCTTAGTTTTTTAATCTTCATTTTTCCCTAATGCTGTAGGAAATTATGTCTTAAGGATAGAAGTCCAAGAACATTGTGATTATGTCTCTACTTGTTCAGCTGGGAAATGACAATTCATGTCTGACTCTCTTTTATTTGCTTTCAGGTAACATTGCTTTCCTTTCTAATTGAAACAGAAGTTTCATTCCTTGACTATATTAAAGGCGGGTATGTGATTGGCAACAAACCTTTCTTGTTTTCACAGTCTCATTGTAATTCACTAATGATTTGTGTATGTACTTTGTATATGATGACTCTAAGAAGTATCTGTAAAGGATGTATTATTCCCTCATTTTAGAGGCTGTGCTTTCCTACATAAAACCTGCAGATAGTTATTGACATAAGTAACGGAACTTCACTTATAATATTGGTAGTAAACCACTGAGATTGAGGAATGACCTCTGATAAAACCAGTGAAAATTGGATTAATTGGGAACTGTCTATATATTATTAAATTAGTAAAATGCCTTTTTATTTCTTCTGATTATACTGAGCTTTAGTGTATTCAATAATGCCATTTATTTAAAGCCTTTCCCCATCAAAGGCATTTTTTCGATATTAATTATGTAAAATTTATAACACATTCAATTTCTTATTTATCGTCATTTTCCCACGAGGGAAGTAGAGACAGAAGCATCAGATGGCTTACCCTAGAACATGCTTGGAAGCAGAATTGAATCTCAGAAATTCTTGTCTCTTAACCTCCCTGCCAGAACACAATTCTTCTCTGAAATCATAAAATCATAGAATCATTGGGCTGGAAGGGACCTTTAAAGGTCATCTAGTGCAACCCCCCCCTGCAGTGAGCAGGGCCATCTTTAACTAGATCAGGTTGCTCAGAGCCCCATCAAGACTAACCTTGAATGTGTCCAGGGATGGAGCCTCCACCACCTCTGGGCAACGTGTTCGAGTATTTCACCACCCTCGTATTAAAAGAACTTCTTCCTGATACCTAATCTAAATCTAAATCTGCCCTGCTCTAGTTTAATACCATTGCACCTTATCCTGTTGCTGTATGCCCTTATAAATGGAAATGATTTGTTATGAACTCCTAGGCACTTAATATGTATATTTGAGGCATACAGTCTGAATATACATGCAGGCATTTATTTTACAGCATTGGTTACCTGTGAAGAAACAAGTTACTTTTTTTTGTGCCATTCTTTAACCAGGCTTCAGCTGAAATAAAAAAGGAGTCTGTTGTGTTTTGGCAGTAGCAACATAGGGCTTTGCCTTTGTTCCCAGCAGTGGTAATCCTATGGATGAGAATGTACTTAAGCTTTATTCCTAGCACATTCATCACTGAAGTTCATTAATTTAAAGTGACGCCCACAGTCATAATTGTTAGCTACAGTGAAACTGTCAGTAAGCTACCTCGACTGCCACTGTATTCAAGGTTTTGAAAAACCACAGGCCGATGTTGTACTGAACCGGTGACTGGTAGAGGGGATGGATCACTGTTAAGATGTACTCCAAGCTGTTGACCCTAACCCATGGGCTGCTGCAGAGTGTGATTTTTTTCTCTGTGAAGGACTAAGAGCCTCTTTGATGTTTCAGTTCTCCCAAACAGTTAATTTTTAAGGTAGGAAATCCAAATTCACTGCTGTTCTATCTCCATCCCAGAAAATAAATATTTTCACTAAGGGTGAATTCAGTCTGCTATGTATCTCAAAACACGGTGTCTTATGGCTCATTAAGATTAAACCTGACAAGAATATTTTATGCATCGTACTTAAAACTGGGAATGCTTAATTAGGTTTTTTAACATAAGTATAGATGCATTCTCTTTAAAATTCTTATTCAGTATCTTTGGAGAAATCTGTGATTTGTCTTGCTCATTTGCTCGCTCTTTGGTGGCTGAACACGTTTTCTCATTTGGGTAGGATGCAGAGCTCTGCAACATTTCAGATTTGAGTGTTTGATACTACAAAGTTGTACGGTAATACACAGCAGCTTGTGG